GGCCCTGGGCAGCTTGGGTCTGGGCCGGAGTCGGCGCGCCCGGGCTCCGCGGTCCTCCCTGGCTGTGCGCCACCCCCTGCTGTTGAGCTTGCAGGGGGAGAAAAGTCAGTTTTTGCGGATTTGCCACGACTCATGAGTCACCGTTCTCAGAAAAGGGAGTTTGCCAGCTGTGGCCCAAGGAAAGGCAGCCGAGTTTCAGCCGTGGTCGGACAAACAGCGTAGGGCTGCGGACTGCGCTGGATTTTGTTGTGCTTAGACTATGGGAGGTTTTCTACATCTAAGACTTTCACCCAGTATTGTTTTTAAATGCGAAATGAGAGCAGTGTGAATCAGGGCGCTAAAAACGTGAAGCGCTTCAACCCTAAAAGTGTAGTAGCTTTCTGCCCACGCGAGAGAACGCAGCACCCCGAAGTCGTAAGTTCTTTCTCAGGGCTATTCCTCCGCATTCTTCGAAGCCAAACTGTAACCCAGGTTTGAAAAGTTGCAACATTGTGGCCCTTACATCGGTAGGAGGTTTGTCTCCCGCTGTATGAAATCCCCCCACAAACTCGCGAAAATCCTGGCGGTCCCTGGATGCAGACATGGAACGTGCGGATTGGCACAGGTGGTAGGGCTCTTGGGCTTGACCTGTAACCAGCTCAGCGGTCGTGGGCGTTATTTTTATTATTTTATTTTTTAAATTTTTTGATACCGGGGATCGAACTCAAGACCTTGAGCTTGCGAGGCAGGCGCGGTGCCACTGAGCTAAATCCCTGCCCAGCACCTTATTTTTCGATGCTCAGGTTCTTAAACTGTAAAATGGCAGCGATGGTGTCCCTCTCGTAGACCTGATGGGGGAGTGTGAAGTGAGGCGCGTGAAATGCAGGTGTGTGTTGCATTATCCGTGGTGATGCATTGCGGAAGAGTAATTTAATGAGATTGCTCTCAGGCTAATGTAATAGGAGGCGAGGACCATGGTGCACAGCTGGCCCTGCTGATCTCAGTCATTCTTACCCTTCCTCTGAGGCCAGATTGCGCACGGCGCTTCTCCTGGCACACTTGTGTGAGATAAAACGCTGAAAAGGCTCTATGTATATTACAGAGAATTATGCTTGTAGCCTGTAACTTTAAATCTTACTTTTCATGAAGTTATGTGTTTGGAGTCAGGGACTCTTTTGGGAGTGAAATGGTTGAGTTTTTTTCCCTTTGTTTGGTTAAAAAAAAAATTCGTGAGTATGAGAGTCCAGGTCGTTTGCTCAGAAACTGTACAGTGTGAAACTCACCTCAAAATGCTGCATAAAATCAATATAACTTTTAAGCAAATTTGTATAATTTTCGTGACATGTAATTTGAATTATTTGGGACACAGTTTGCCAAATAAGCAGTGACTATAAAAAGGTCAAAAGTTGTAAACTACTTTTGTTGTAATTAATTTGCTGGCTTCCGGAATGGAGTGAATCTTTGACTTTATGGACCTTGATAAACCTTCAAGTTTATCAGTGACTGATGATTTGCTTTTATTTAACGGACCAATTCTGTTTTATGGAACTAAAGGTAATCTACTTTTCATTTTTTCTTGAGAGTTTTGCTTAAAAAAATGTATTTAGAAAAATGTGCCACGTTTTCTTGAATAAGGCATCAGATCGCTGATCAGATTGATGGCTATGGGACTGCTTAAAATACTTACTTTAACTTGTCCATGTTTTCTGAAGTACGTCTTAGGGTACTTTTAATAATGTCTTTAATAAATAAGTTACTTCAGTGTCTCCTTTGGTTCGTGAGAAATCCTTTCCCTGTGAGTTACAAATCTGTGGGTGGAAGCCGAGGTAATCTTCCGTTGTTGGAAGGTGAGTTTGGTAATACAGAACATTGTAAGCTGTAATAGGTTCGCTTTGACCCTGAGATTGATAGCATTAGATGTTTTGTAAGGTGGCCCATTTAGTGACATGCTTGTCCACTTTACTTTTGAAATGCATTGTTATAGCCATAATAGACTTGGAATCATTGTCTGTTTTGGTTCAGGTGTTACCTGAGCGTGGCTCTGGTTAGCACGCCTCGGTTCCAACAGAAAATAATTTACTGAGATGTGGGAGGTGCCAAGCATTATAGGGAACAAGTTCTTCTTCACCTTCCTTTTAAAATACACACACACACAGTGCTACATATATAGTATACCACCTGTGTGTCTATATATATATACAATTGCTTGTACATAAGATGCGTTCCTGAAAGTACAGGATGTGCAGGTATCTAAGGACCAGTCGGCTCCTTGGGAAAGAGGAAATCTCCGCGTGGCCAGTGAGCAGCTCTGCGGGCTCAGACTGCCCTGCAGCCGCTAGTGTCTGGGAGTGGGGCCGCCTGGCGGTGTGCTTGTGCCCTGTGTCGCCCGCCCTTCTCCCGCCTGTACAGTGTGTGTGGACGGAAGTGGGGGCCTGCGGGTGACCTGGGGCCTGGAGTGAGACGCGGCACCAGGGGCTACTGGTCCATTCTTCTGCAGGTTGGTGTGCTGGGCAATGTGGTTTAGGAAGCATGACACAGTAGAGGGTTAATTGATTTTGCTGAGAGCTCTTGGATCATCTTACTTGCGAATTAAAAGTAGTAAAATTTTAAAAAATTAAATAATAAATATAAAATGTAAGTATACATTTATAGCTCTAATTATGCAGCAGCTAGTTGGTATTGAAATTTAAAATCATATTCGCATTAAAACATAAGCTATTTCTCAATTGCAGATTTAGTACCTCAAGACAAACTCTTATGTGGATTCCAGATTCTTTTTTTTCCAGGTATTTATATTATTATGTTACTCTGTCTTTGATTGTAATAATTTTCCTTGTCACTTAAAGCTTTATTTTTTGAATAAAGAATATTAATTCTTAAAGTAGAAACTCGTTAAATAATAAATAGAAGATTCGCTTTTATTGGCCTTTGACATTTGGTAAAGAATAAAGTCACGTATCCATGTTCAAGTTTTAGAAAGTAACTTTCGCCTGTTAATTCATTGCACCTAGTTTGCTGAGTGGGAGAATCTCAACGCTTCGGGATGGAACTGGTGCTGTAAGTAGAATGTCGGCATGCGTTTCTACATTAGACGACTCCGTGTTTCATTAAGCGCGCGGTCTTTAGCGTCAGGGACTCCAAGAGGTGCGAAGCTAATATTTTAATAACCACTAAATTACAGTAGTGTAGTTTCTAAAGTTTTATTTCCATGTAGGGAATACAGTATTTCTAAACAGAGAACCCAGAACAGAAATAATGCATACAGCAAGTTAAATTGTTGTGATCAGAGGCTGTAGGACATGTGCTTGCTTTGATGCTAGAGGATAGCTGTTTAGTCCAGAATTGAAACTTTAAAAGTAAATGGATACATGTAAATAAATAGTAAATACATGTTTGTAAATATTAATGTTGATATGAGAATAAGAGGTTGCAAGTGGGGGGAATCTTACATTTTCTTGTTATTTTGAAAAATTACCTTACTTGTTCTGCAGTGGTACAGTGAGGAAAGGTAAAGATACATAAAGTTTCAATAAAAAATAGTTTATGGATTGGTGGCCTGCCTTGCAAGCACAAAGACCTGAGTTCAATCCCCGGTACCAAACGAGAGAATAGTTTATGGAGTTAAAAATGTTGCAGTGTGCACATCAGCATGTGAAAGACTGTCGGAGTGGCAGGTCACATGAAGGCGTTCTCTTCTGTGAGGGTGAAAAAGTGATCAGGTTATTTGTTGAGGCCTCCAGATGAAGTGAGGTGGCAAGGTAGGCAGATCCATGGGAGAGATTATTTCAGAAAACATCAACAATAATTTCTTTACAAAACTCTAATTTTTGATTGGACACGTTTTGTATTGCACATTTTAAAGCATCTTATTTCCCCCTTATGTATTCTATGGTGCTGAATTTGTTTGTTTGTTTTTTTAATTTTGAAATTTTTTCTCATTTCACATTACCCTGCCCTGGCTTTTGAGGAAATTGGATAATAAGATTGTACATGTGAAAATATGAGCATAATCTTGCCCAGTGTTGATAGTAGTGTACAGCATTTACAGTTTTAGCCCCGAATGTGTTATAAAAGTACATTGTGCCAAGCATGGCAGCCCATGGCTTTCATTCCAGAACCCTGAAAAGCTGAGGCAGGAGCATCGCAAGTTCAAGCCCAGCCCGGGCAACTTAGTGACTTAACAAGACCATGTTTCTAAATAAAAAAGTTTGGTGGTGTAACTCAGTGTGAAGGCTCTAGATTCAATCCCTAACCTGGGGGAAAAAAGTGTTAATGACTTGCAAATTATGTAGGTCACAATGTAGTAATGATTAATGATTTGCCAATGTAAGTATCATTTATTCATAATGTTTTCTGAGTATTGAATTCTAGAACTTTTCAGATAAAAGTTTCCTCAAGTATCACTTTTCCCACAGATATTAATAAAAATGAGAAAGCTGACTTATTAAATAAGAGTTTCCCTGGTCATTAAAATGTCAAATTAATAATAGCTTTTTGGGGGAGAAAAGGTGCTACCACGTTAATGCACACTGTTACAACTATACTCCAGCTTTGGAAACATTAACATTAGGAGTGGAATCAAGGAAATAACTTAGGTTTCTGGTCCTTGTTAGTGTTACAGATATTAAAGGGAGAAATTTAATTGAAAATAAACAATTCTTCATTTGTAGATATTTATTGATAGAGATCCAGCAGCTTTTGCACCCATTTTAAATTTTCTTCGGACAAAAGAACTAGATTTAAGGTAAGAAATGCATCCTCTTTAATGCAAATTCTTGCTGGTAGCTGTGTATTTTTGGTGTATTTTATGAATAAAAAGGATTTTTCTCTTTGACTATTTTTCAGAAATTTACTTAGAATATTTGTACTTATTTGTGGGTGCAGCATTGTAGTCTGTTAGTGTGTATGTTTTTAGATTCAGTTCAATTTTTTAGAACTTGTTTGTTTTAGCTGCTGCTTTATAATTTTTGATTTTTGGCTTATATTTAGTAGAGGAAGCTCCCTGAGGACAAAGATTTGTCTGGTGCATTCCTTGCTGTATTCTTGTGGTTAAAACAGTATATCTAATATATAAAGAACAGGTACTTATGCATAGAATGAAAGTGTTTGGTGGGGCTTTTTGTCCTGAGTTGGTTGGCAGTGGGAAGTACATTATTATGTGTTGAGAAAGCTTATTTTAACCGTCCCATTTGATAAAGAAGTCCAAGTTTACATCTGGTCAGTGTCCTTGTGACTGTTCCAGTTACATGAACCAGAAAAGCAGGATTAATTTAATTGTTATATGCACTGACTGCTCTTCTTACAAATAACCCCCTGTTCTCCTTTGTGGAAGCCTCCAAATTTAAATTCTGTGGTGCTTTATATAGGAGGACGGGAAGGGATTTTTTTTTTAAACGTCCAAACGCCTGTGTTCTAACTCTGTTAATAGCCTGCCCTATCTCACAGAGTCCTAACAGCTGTGTTTGTTAGCCTGCCCTCCCAGGAGACCAGAGCTTGTTTTGTGTCTGAAGCACCATGTAGTCAGCCAGCCCTGTGATGCTGTTAATACAGGTGCTGTAAAGTGGAGTTGGAAAGTCTTAAGCATTTTTTGTTAGTCACAGTCAGGTTCCCAAAAAAACAATTTAATATCACAATTGCACACATTTATTAAAGCCAAGGAATGTTCAGAAATTAAGAGCAGATAACTGAAATTTGAAATGAATAATTACTGTAGTAATTATTCGCTAAAGCGAGTCTTTCCTATTTGCTATTTTCTTTGATTCAGTCAATGTAGAATTTATTACATGACTATCAGCATTGCGCTAGGCACGGTGTAAACTATGAAAAATTAGATCAAAAAAAGATTGAGATTATAGGGAGTTCATAGAATGAGAGGGGAGTTTACATGTGTATCAAAATGATATAAAAAGCTGAACATAATTCTGTAAAAGAATGGTTTCTGACCTGTCGTTTGTCGGATATTTTTCCCTAATTCATTTGTGTTAGCCCTTAGCTTTTATCTTTTGTTTACTTACTTTGCTTATCTATTTATGAGTGGTTTTTCGGTGGCCTTAAAGTGTTATTGTTCAATGAAATTTTACTTAAAATTTTCAAATTGACTAAGAATATTAGAAAAAAAGATTATTGGAGAAAAGTCTGTGAAGCCTCAGGACTTTGTTCACCTAAGAGCCCAGTCCTCCCGCTGTGGCCAGGGTCGGAGGGCTCACGCTGTCCCTTTGTTTCTTTGTAGGGGAGTGAGCATTAACGTTCTCAGGCATGAGGCCGAGTTCTATGGGATCACGCCGCTAGGTACGTGTCTTCTCCCACTGTTTTCTGTTTTCGATGAGACTCTGTGCTCAGCTTTCCCAGGTGTGTTTTATACCGGGCCCAAAGTTTTCGTGGAGTAGATCAGTGCTTAGTTTTTGTGGATTTTTCATAGCAGAAAGACTCTGATGTAACTTGAATGTCTTCCCTTTCTTTCCATAGTCTAAGTAGAGAAAATAAAAAGGGAGCACTGTTTCTCTGTTTGAATTTTGCAGTGAGAAGGCTCCTCCTGTGTGAGGAGCTGGAGCGCTCGTCCTGCGGCAGCGTGCTTTTCCACGGCTATCTGCCCCCGCCAGGTATCGTGGCTTTCGTTTGATTCAGTCTTTGTACAGATTATTTTGTATCATTACGCAGTTATATATGGGAACACTCTTCCTTGATGCTTGTGTTTCCTGTCCACAAATCTAGAAATAAAAAGAACTTTGTTTTTACAAAAGCTACCTCATGGCATGTTGCAGAGCAGGGGTTTGCAAACGTTTTCTGGGGCCTGAGAGGCTCTGGCAGCCAGCGGCTCGGCCCAGCTTCTGAGCTCTGTGTGTCCTCTGTCTGTGCCCCACGGCTTTGGTGAGGTTCCCTGTCCCTATGGCCCGTCGTGTGCTCCCCTCGGGAGCACAGGTGTCAGAGTTCTCTTGCTCTCACCCAGGACCCGTGCTGAGATCCGCGCGGTGCCACCTCACCCCACTGAGTGAGCGCAGCCCTGCCTTTACCTGGGTGCACACCCGAGCAGGGTTTCGTCTGTAAAAGAGTCTCTCGGGCCGTGAGCCATTGCACCACCGCTGACAAACCGGGCTGATACTCTTTGATTCCGTAACCTGGAGCTAGGTGAATTGGCCCATAAAATGGCATACTGATTTATTATAAATACGATGGCCAATACTAGAAATCTCTTTAGCTTTTTTTTTTTTGTCTTGAAGTTTTGATTGTGACTATTTGCAGTAAATTGCTATATTGGAAGATCTATTGAGGATACGGTGCAGTTCACATTTTAGTTTCCTAGTTACAATGTGATATTTTTCGTTTTTGGAAACTTAACTGAGAAATGAGTTTGTTGTTTTCTCCACCCTGTGTAGGTATCCCTAGTCGTAAAATAAACAACACAGCGAGATCTGATTCCAGGGATGCACTTGGTTCTGTGGAAGGCGAGGCCCGGGGCAGTGGTGCACAGCCTGTTCTCTCTGCTACTGGAGAAGAAACCGTGAGGCTGGGTAAGAAAGGGCAGAACAGGAAAAGACAGCTGTGTGGAATTTCCCTTCTTGGTGGTATTGAGCAGTTATTTTTAAGTATGTAATTTGTGCCTCCTCGTTTTGTACCCAAATTTATCATTGATACCTTGAAAAGTCTCATTTAGCCTGTTTTTTTTTACTTAAAGTACTATGTGACCTGTTTACTCTGAATTGTTAGAACAAAGGTGACTGCTAAACTGTGGACCCCGCGGGTCGTGCGTTCTGGGAAATCTCGGTGGACAGCGTGTAAACAAACGAGTGCCGTCCTGTGTGGGCCGAACTTACTCATCCCCACAGGCAGGAGACTGGAATTGGCTTATGGGCCACGCTTTACCAACCCGTTCTAGAATGGAAAGTACTTGTTTTTCTGAAATCAGCAGGACTTCCTGTGGACCCACGAAAGGTGCTCATTGTCGCTGGCCATCACAACTGGATTGTGGCTGCGTACGCTCACTTTGCTGTGTGCTACAGGTACTGTACCACCCGCCGATAGTAGCAGTTATTTTTTTAAATTCTAGAGCATAGTCATTAATGTGATTTTGTGTTTTTTGTGAAGAGCCACATCTTTTAGTCATTGAATTTTTCTCTGATATCTTTCACCCACTTCTGTAGCATGTGGATAAGGTTCAGTTTGCTTTTATTTTATCACCTAATTTGGTAAATGTTGACAATAATCTTAACATGTCTTAAATATTTTCCAAATAGCACGAACTGTAACGCACGTGACATTTCTGTTGTTTTTGTCCATAACAGGATCGAACTCAGGGCCTTGCTCATGCTAGCCAAGTGCTCTGCCACTGAGCTACATCTTTAACCCTTTTTAAATGTTTTATTTTGAGACAAGGTCACCGTACATTTTTGGCTGGCCTTGGAACTGCAGTGCTCCTGCCTTTGCCCTCGAGTAGCTGCGTTGCAGCACCATGCCCAGTTGAGATGTCCTGATGTAATTCTTTCTTGCTCCTCTCGAATCTCAAGAGTCATCAAACTATTAGGTTAGATGGTTTTAGACAAGGTTATTATGTGAGCACCGTAATATTTCATCCTGAGTGACTCAGTCCTTTGCACCCTGAAGCATGAGGAACGAGGCTGTTGGACGTAGTGACCTCATCCCTGGGAGTGAGGCGGCGAAGCAGGGCATTGTGGGAGGAGCGGACTAGGGCAGCAGTGTGGGGTGTGAGACTGCGCAGTAACGTGGCCTAAGGGACGAAGGAAAAAGAGACTAGTGAAGGTCAGTGAGTATTTTAAAGTGGGGAAAGGGAAGGGGCCTTTGAGTCACTATAGTGATTATAGCTCTATAAGAATTTTCGATGGTAAAGAATGGTGGCTGGACTGTACTAGCTTGAAATGTGATCCCATTTTATTTAAATTGTGTAAAATTAAAGAATATATAAACTTTTTTCACCACTGATATTAAGAAAAAGTGCTGCAGTAGGTAAGATAATTATAGAAGTTTTCTACAGTTTACACCTACATTTTAAAGAATCATAGTAATGTTTAAAAAGCTCTGGTTTATGAAAGGTGCTCACTGGTGAGGCCCTTGTATGTCATGCTCTTATTTTCCATGTAGCGGTGATTAGGTACAGACTTTCACTTCGAGCATACTCGGTCAAGCTTTAAAATTTTTTAATAGTACAGAAGTGGGTTTTTGGATGATTGCTGCTTGCTGGAGACTCTCAGCGCTGCCTTTAGTGGTCCGCACTGCGTGATGAACATAAGGACAGTAGTTGCTTGCTGGAGACTCTCAGCGCTGCCTTTAGTGGTCCGCACTGCGTGATGAACATAAGGACAGTGGGGTGTCTGTGTTCTGTTCTCTGGGGTGGGGGACCATGGTGCCCGCTTCCCTGGCTGTCGCGCACAGTGGGCGGGGCGAGGACTGCAGGTTTTCCTGCTGTGGGGGATTCATCCAGCGCAGTGGCAGGGAGATGTTTAATCATACGGTAGGAGTACTTTCAGAGAGTCATCTTAAATTGTTTTTCCTGAAGTTTTCATATTAGCAAGTAAAAAACTTAAAGACAAGAGTAGTATAGCCAGTACCTGCTTGGATACTCTTTATGGAGTCACTGATGCTCTGCATTTTCTGGCCTGATTTCAGTGCCCTCTGTCTGGTCGCTGGGTTTGTGACTGTTGTGTTAACAGAGCAGTTGTGTGAGTTGTGGCCCTCGCGCAGCCTACATTTTAGATGGGATCATTAATCCGTGTGGAATTTTCTTGTTTGTATGTGGTGTGAGGCTTGAGAATTCATTTTATTTTCTCCCAAGTGGGTAGCTAATTATGTTCTGATCATTTATGACATAAATCATCTTTTCGCTGAGTAAGACTCATTGAGACGATTATAAACTAGTCTGCAGAAAAAGGTTTCAAAGCTGTTCCTTCATTTAATTGTTCTGAGGTATTGGAATGCCTGTGGACTCGCTTAGTCTGCCGAATGGACCGTCATCGACAATACAGAAATCAGATTTTGTGCATATCATTTCAGTTAGGGTAATAACCAGAAATACTGCTTAATTGGAAAGAATAATTCTAAAATTCTGATATTTGTTGCCTGCTCATGTCAGTGATTTTTGTTTTGTAAAGAAACATCAAAGTTATAATCATCTTTCTTATTTATTAAAGTGATAGGGAGATAAATTCTTTGGAGAAATAAAGCACTGTTTGTAAATGATATATATCCTAGGTATTTAAATACATTAGTGGTAATCTGGCTTTGCGACTGTGTCAGGAAGATTTTATATTTAGTAAATGAAAAGGGTTGGTGGTTGCAGTTTAATGCTTTTGGTACATTGATTTGCATTCCATTTGATGAGTCTACTTTGTCATTTCTTAACAGAATCAAAGAATCTTCAGGATGGCAACAAGTGTTTACAAGCCCGTATCTAGATTGGACTATCGAGCGGGTGGCTCTGAATGCAAAAGTGGTCGGGGGTCCTCACGGAGACAAAGACAAAATGGTCGCCGTGGCCTCGGAGAGCAGCATCATCCTGTGGAGTGTCCAGGACGGGGGCAGCGGGAGTGAAGTCGGTAGGAAGAACCTCGTTTGTGCTGCATTCCTCTGGTGTGTGCCGTGTTTCGCATACAGTGCAAGAGAGACAGGAGGAAGCGTTGGTGTGAGCAGAGAGCTGCCTCTCCGGGGCCCGGCGGTAGAAGGAATACTGTGCGTGAGAGGAGTAGGCTGGTAAAGAGGCGAAGCGCTGCTGGTTTAGAACAGAGGGGGGATCTGAACCCGGCTCCGTCCAGCTGAGCTCTGAGTGAGCGCCCACTTCCGGGCGGCTGTGTCTTTCCGTCCTTCTCATGCCGTGGGCTCAAAGGCGAGGCCTCCGCTCTTACCTGAGGCCGGCTTTGTCAGGCGCCCACCGCTCCATGTCTCCCTGGTTCTGCTTCAGTCAGACACGTTTTGTTGATAAAGTTTTAATAATTTTTATCCTTCTCCTGCCGTAGTCTGCTGGCAATCCCATTTAATAAACTTTTGTTCTTAGCTGTAAATTTGCCTTCTGGCTCCATTTTATGGTTTGTTTTGTTTGTTTTTCTTCTTCGTTTTTTTTTTTTTGTGTGTGTGTGTGTGTATGTGTGTGAGATTTGTCTCTTCCTCATTAACCATCTTTTACTAAATCCTAGTAATTGGTTGAAACTTTTGTTTGCTAAGTCCATTATCTGGGTCATCTCAAATTTTTATTTGGGATGTCATTTTCTTCACCGTTTTAGAGAGTTTGATCTCGTGTTGGACATGTGTAGGCAGAGCGGTATGGATGACGCTGTGTACCCTTTAGAGATGTGTTTTTCTCTGACAGCCAGTTACACCACGCAGAGTCTTCTAGTCCTCACTGGGCTTTGTTCTGTTTGGTTCATGGCAGGTTACCTCTCCTTTCCTCCAGGGCATCCTGACTGAATGCCTGAGGTGCTCAGCCTGGGCTCACCCTTCCAGTTTGGCTGCCTGCCTGCCTGCCTGCCTGCGTGGGGCCCCTGGAGTCTCCTTCCAGCTGTCAGCCCATCATGCTCAATTCTTGGGAGAGTCTGTCCTGACCAGGGTCGGCTTAGTCTCATCCAGGCCTTAGGGAAACCCCTGGGAAACTCCTGTTCCATCTGCGTTTGTACCTGACCCACGCGTTCTGGCTGCAGATTCTCTGTTTCCTCAGTGCCCGGAAACTGTCACTGTTGACTGGGGTCTCACCTCTGCCGTTGAAAGTGCTCTGGCTGGAAGCTGGGGCGTCCCCCACTGTGTGTTTGCTGCTGGCAGTGGTGGCCTTGAGTGTGTTGTGCAGTTCTGTTGTTTTCGAGTATGGTGAATACTGTTTATTCCATCACAGCTGGCAGCAGAGTCCCTCCTGAGAACTTTAGAAAACAGATTTCAATATTAAAACTTTTGAAACAAAATACTTGGGTAATAATTATGCAGAAAAGAAACCACTCATGATTAATTTTTCCCTTTTCCGGTTGGCATTTGTAACACACCAATAAATGAAGGAAATTCTGTTCCTTGCTTTGTCTTCCAAGGCAGATGTGATGGGCAGTTGTGTTTTGAGAATGTGCAGTAGAAATTTGTAAATGTCCTCTTAAGGACGCATTTGTTCTTACGGATGTTCTTGGGAAATGGCCAGCACCGTCTGAAGAAAATTGCTGGGCTGGCAGTCCGTGATGGAGCCCCCCAGAGGCCGTGGGAGGCACTCCTGGACCGCGCTCTGAGCAGGGTTTGCACAGGGACCCTAAGGCAGGCTCCCTGACCCATGTGTGTAGTCTTCCCTGTGGGGGTGGGCGGCCTGCTGAGCCCTGCCCCAGAGTGACACTTTGAACGGCCACCACTCAGGCGTCTCCCTTGGTTTCCCAGAACCTCATCCTTCTCTAGAGTAATCATTGTTACTTGGTTTTCCTGGTTTTATTTCTGCTTTCCACACGGGCCGTGGGACTGAACATAGTTGGCTTCACATGTCCTTAAAAATTGGCTTCAAAATTAAAGTGCCATTATGTGACAGTCTCTAAAATTGTGTAGAGGGTGGGATACTTATTTTCTGTTTTGAAGTGGGAGATTTATTTCTTGGTCAGTTCTGGTTGAAGGTCTTAGCTTTTCGTGTGTTGAGGTTTACATCACTCTTTGTGATTTTTGGCTGACAGGTTGGGCTGAGGTGCATTTGTGTGTACGTTTATGTAAGTATGATTCATATGAACAGTTAAATCGTACATATCAAACATACTCCTAGAAATACTTACCTGTTTTCTCTCTCCCTCTCTTTTCCTGTATACTAGGTATCATTTTTGCTCCTCCTAGATGCTTTTTTTCAAGATTGGTAAAAGAGTTTTAAGGTGTTGTGGATGGCCACTAGGTGCAGTATAGACCAGAACAGAGAAGAGTACTTGCACTGATGTAAAATTCAGAAGAAATCAAGTGGTTCTGCCACTTGCCTTATAGGTGCAAGGTTCCTAGTTCAATCCCCAATACCTGCCCTGCCCCACCAAAAGAAGAAATCAGAAACTTTCCTAGCTTACTCTTTTAAGGTGTAGCACAGTTTGCATTTAATTATCTGCCCCCCCAAGAGTTCTTAAGACCTGTGTATCTTTGTTTTCCCCAGCTAAATGCTGAGAAGTGATTCATACTGACACACTGGCACTTTTTTGAAATAAACTGATGCTTGAAATAACCCAAAGATGTGCATAAAACAATATTTTACAGATGAGACCTACTTCCCAGCATTATGAGATAAAAAGACATCTTCCATAGGTGTTTCTCAAATAATAAAGATAATACTGTGTAAGCACCAGGGTTCAAGTCCAGCATTTTTGATATGGAAGCAGCTCTTAGACCTCCAGGGAGGACTGTGCTGTGTAGGTGAGATAAGTACGAGCCAGGGTGGAGCGGGTCCCTTCAGAGTGAGGGTTCCTGAGCCCGCCTGCCAGCGCCGGACAGAGCGAAGCGGGGCGCCCTGGCATTGCGGGCTCCTGGCTGATGGTCTCTTGTTTCTCTGGCCCTGGGCTTGTTCTTCTCCACCCTTCCCATTTGAACTCCTGTCAGCCTTTGTAAAAGCCTGACTCGGGTGGCTTTTCTTCCAAGGTGGATTCTCCAGCCCTTTGATCCATTCCCCTTCCCTCGTCTGGACACAGCTGTGCCCTGCGCATCTTTCCTTTCTTTTCGCATTATATTGCACTTGGTTATTTGCAGGTTTTTGTCTACTAACCTGTAAGTCCTAGTAGCATCCATTCTTTCTTTTTAACCTCAAAACCTAATGTAGGATATTTTAAATAAATTAAGACTGAAATGCTAGAAAACAAGAGGCTTAAAATAAGCTTCAAGTAAAAGGCCTGAGAATTTGCGTTTACTGTGACTTGCTGAGGTGGTTTCGTGTGTCGTTTTTGCTTGCTTCCAGACTTTCATGTACACTCTGGCTGGTGGAGGCGGCCAAGTATACCTTCGGATCCTGGCTTCCAATTACCAGGTTCACGAGCAAGCGGCGTTTACATGTCCAGTAATTTTATTAAGATGTGCTGGGTTTTCTCCCTCATTGGATCTGGCACGTATCCCAAGATCCTTTTTATTTTATTTTGTTCATGCAAAACCGGCTAGATTATTCTCATGGTCAGATAGGATGAGAAACAAAGGGTCAGATGCCAAGGTGTGGGGTCCTTGTGAGGTTGCCGGGGCAGGCTCTTCTCTGCTTAGGAATTTTATCAGCTGCTTAAAAGCTTGCCAGGTTTGTATTCGTGTTTCCCACCACGTCTGGCACATAATCTGTAGAAATGAAAATGGGTATAGATTAGTCGCCTCGGGTTTCTAACGGAGGTATGACAGATTCTAAGACGGAGGCCGATTAACCTCTTTGTCTCTCTTGCTGTTGAAGGAGTGTTCAGCCTCGGTGTTCCTGTGGACTCGCTCTTCTTTATTGGAAACCAGCTGGTGGCCACGAGTCACACGGGGAAGGTGGGAGTGTGGAACGCCGTCACTCAGCACTGGCAGGTCAGTGTCGGTGGTAGCGCTGAACAGGGAAGAGCGCTTCTGAAACAGGCCAATTCTGTTGTTTCTTTGTGGAACTCATGTTATTTCTGGTTTTGATTACATAGAACATTGACTCTATTTAGTGGTAAATTTATTTCTAGATGCAAATTTTACCTTTTTCAGGAAATTTGTTACTTTGGAAAATAGAAAAATTTTAAATTGTGACTAAATATTTCTTCATTTCCTTAAAATGTTTTGAGTTCTGTGCTATAGCATGGAGATGATCCAGGCCTCCTGCCTCGGTGAGTGGAAACAGAGATCTGTACACGATATGGCTGTCCAGAGAAGATAGGAAGCCACAGAGAGCTCTCAAATAGAGAAGAGCAGAGGGAGCTAAATGAGAATGTGGTGAATATGGTTAATATTTGGTTCTGAAGACAGAGGAATCTGCTACGTACAGGACACTGCTCTATTCACAGAGCAGAATTCGCTGACGAGCACTTTCTCCTTTCTGTACACAGAAGTACTGGATACAGACATTACAACTCTCTTCCTTTATACTTCCATTCAGTTTTACTTACTGCTTTATGCTTGCATACCGTTAATCAGGATAAAGCCTTGAGATTCTGGAACTTTAGCCAAAACCAGGAAGCATGGCTTCATGGAAAGTAGAAATTGAGCCTCTTGGGAAAATGTGAAGCTTTAAAGGTCTGCTTCGGTCCCTGAGAAGGAGACAGGAAAGTCATTTTTTTTTTTTTTTTTTTTTT